GGCACCTGACAACAACAACAACGCTACCAGAACTCCTTAGTCTGCATATAGCAGGTTGTTAAATTAGTCTTCCTCTATCCTGGTACTAAATTCTTCATATAGGCACCTTTTTCAAATGATTTTTTTAGCATGTAGACTGAATAAGTAAGGTAAAAGGATATAAGCTGGCAACATACTTTCTCCAGCTCTAAACCATGCAGTATCCCCTCATTCTGTTTGAACAACTGCCTTTTGATCTCTGTACAGGCTCTGCATGAACAAATTAGATGTTCCAGAATTCCCATTCTTTGGAATGTTATCCATAATTTGTTATGATCCACACAATTGTATGACTTTGCATAGTTGATACAATACAAGTTAACATCTTTCTCTGCTTTTGCTCAGATCCATCTAACATCAGTAATGGTATCCTTCATTCCATATCCTTGTCTGAATCTGGCTTGAACTTCTGGCATGGCAGTTTCATGTTGATTTATGTTTTGAATTATCTTCAGTAAAATTTTGACAGCATGTGATATGAATGGCATCATTCTATAATTTCCAAATTCCATCTGGTTGCCTTTCTTTGGAATGGGCACAAATATGATTGTCCTCCAGTTGTTTGGTTTTTCATATTCTTGACATGGATGAGTAAATGCTGCTAGTGTTGCATTTGTTGAAGCATCTCAGCTGGTATTCTGTCAGTTCCTGGAGCCTTGATTTTTTTCCCCATGTCTTCTGCTTGGCTTATACTTCTTCCTTCAGTAGAAGTGATTCCTCCTGACATGGCTGAGGATGGATCAATTCTTTTTGGTACAGTGACCATGTTTCTTCCAACTTCTTTTGGTGATTCCTATGTCATTCAATTTTTTGCCCATAAAATCCTTCAGTATTTCAACATAAGGCTTGAATTTTCTCTTCAGTTCTTTTATCTTAAGGAATACTTCTCATGCTTTTCCCTTTTAGTTTTTAACTCCTGATATTTGCACATTTCATTATACTGTAAAACTTGTAAAAGCCAGACTCAATGGGACTGCCTTGTTTTTCTGCGTCTTGCAAATGTTCTTCTATTACAGGGTGCAGTCTTATCACATTCTGTCACGCCTTTTAGTGGGAAATATTTGAGTTTTCTGACAATTCTCTGCCTTACACAGATTCCAGTCTTTGCAGGTTTTTTACCTTGACTTCTTGAGCACTCTTTAAAGCCTTCTGTTGAGCTCTTTTGCCTCATCATTTCTTCCATTTTCTTTAACTATTCTACATTTATACATAAGTCTCAGTGTTATGTCTGACATCTGTTTTGGTCTTTCCCTTCTTTCCTGTCATTTAAATGACTTTACATGTTTTATGTGTGGTGTCTTTGATATCATCTCACAGCTCTTCTGGTCTTTGATCATTAATGTTCAGTGTGTCCATTTTTTTCTTGAGATGGTTTCTAAATCCTGGCAGGATACACTTGAAGTTGTGCTTTGGTCCTCATTAACTTGCTTTGGTTTTATTCGGTTTCAATTTGAACGTGCACATGAACAATTGTTGGTCTGGTCCACAGTCAGCCTCTGGCTTTGTCTTAACTGATGGTACTGAACTTTTCCATTGACTCTTTCCAAATTTCTCTTTTCCCTTCCTGGGTTATTCTCTGGACGGAAAGAAACCATACTTTATATCTTGTTCTCCACCTATTGTACTATTCCTGCTTTCTGTCTTGTTGGATTTCATGTCTCATTCTCTGCTCTGCCTGGTCATGCGCCCCAAGTTCTCAAAGATCTGATATTTTCCTTCTCAAAGATCTGATATTCTGTTTGAACATTTCAGCTCAGCCTGCCCAGTTTATAGGAAGACTGAGAAGCAAGGAGGCCACAGAAGGGGCCACAGCCACGTTGCGGTGTGAGTTGAGCAAGGCAGCTCCTGTGCAGTGGAGGAAGGGCTCGGAGAATCTCAGTGCTGGGGACAAATACATCCTGAGACAGGATGGAGCTGTGTGTGAGCTGGAGATTCATGACCTAGCCATGAGTGATGCTGGGGAGTACTCGTGCATGTGTGAGCAGGAGAGGACCTCAGCCACGCTGACTGTGAAGGGTAAAGACCACATGTGGCCATGTATACTGGTAGTGTGGCATCTGAGCATGTCTTCATGTCCCTCCTTCCCCACCTCTGTTTGCACCGCAGTCCATTGTGTCTCTCTCACTCATTCCTGAAGCATATGCCTAACAGCAGCTACTGCATGTGGGCCAGTCTCATTTATGAGATAAACAGCAGACAGCAGGAGAGGACCTTCTTGCCCTCATGAAGGTCACAACTGAGGAAAAGGAGGTGGCCCCTAGGAAGTAGAGCCAGAAAATTCCTAGGTGGGCCAGAAGGCCTTGTATGAGCATAAGAAAGGGAGCAGTGGGGCTGGAGGTGTGTGGGCAAGCAAGAGAGAGAGACTAGGAGGACAGAAAGAGGGTCATCCTGTGGGAGGGGTTGGACAGGTCATCTCAGGCAAGGAGGGGTACCAGATGCAGCCAAGGCGGAACTTCCTATCCTGTGCACTCAAGAGGAGAGGAGGTGTTGAGAATGTCTCCAGCAAGTGGGGTGGCTGGTGTGCGATGGCCAGGCCCTGAGAGAGGACTAGGTGGGGCCACATCATGTGAGACTGCCCTATTCGCACCTGACTTTTTTGGGAGTGTACCCAAGAAGGCAAGGTTGCTTTATGGCAATTGAAGAATAGTGGAGCGAGATGTGGGTGGATGCTGGTCCTAGGGTGCAGGTACAACAGGACGGTTCCCTTGTGGGAATGAGGGGTAACCTCTGTGTGTCTGAGTGACTGATAAGGACATCCATGTCACCTGTTAGAGTGGAGGTGTGCCGAGTAAGGCAGGACTAAACAGCACGCTGTGGCCCTGCATCCCCAGGTTTCAGGGTGGAGGTGTGCTGCGGAAGGCAGGGCTGATCATCGCCCCATGTCTTGCATCCCTACATCTTGAGCTTGCGTACTGTGTGCTTTCCTCACCATCTCTAGTATCCTGTTCCTGGCTTGCAACCTCCAGAGGTACTGACGGCATGCGTGTCTGACCCTGACTCATTCTGCTCACCTAGTTCACAAAGGGTCTGAGGAGACCTTGGGAGGAGCTTAAGGCATGCTACAGCATGAGCTGAGCAGGGCGACTCTGTGGAGTCAGGGAAGGATCTGGAATCCCTTACCACCAAGGAATGATGAAGCTGAGGCAGGATGGGACCACCTGTGAGCTGGAGATCTGTGGACTGGCCATAAGGGACACCAGGGCAGGAAAGGACTTCAGCCAAAGCTGGTCTGCTTGGGAGGTGAAGGCCTTTGGGTTCCACCCTTCTGCTTGAGCTCATGGAGAAGCATCAGGCCCAGATTGGCCTTGGTCGTCTCTGAAGAAGGAGCAGACCCTTGGAGGCCTTACTTGACTCCTGTGGAGCTGGGACCCTGTCCTAGCACAACCAGCAAAGGCAAACCCCCTTCTTGGGGGTCGAGGTGCTCAGAGGCCTCTGAGGGACTGGACCACTTCCTGAGGGGTAAGCAGAAGGAACAGAGATAGGACAAGGCCTCCACCCATGTCCTGGGAGGGTCACAGGAGCAACACGAATGAAGGGTTTACGTACCTCAGGGAGAGTAGACCATTGGCTTCTCTTGGCGGAGAAACCACGTCTTGTGTGTGGGAGCCTGGGATGGCACCTCATGGGCCCTAGGCTCCACCCTCATCTCAGAACATCCGCCTTGAACAGTGGAGAGTATTATAGGTCCAGGGGCAAGTGCTCCCTCATGGGACAATGTCATATCTTCAGGAAGGCCGCCTGCCTATCACACTGTCACTCCCATGTGCAGCGCAGCACTGTGAGTGTGACTTAGAGACTGTCATGTGATTGCAGCCTCTCAGAGCAGACACCATCCCAGAAGGAAGTTGCTCCCCCCTTAGAACCCAGCAGTGCCATTCATTCCAAGGTGACCAGCCACAGGCCACTTAAAGAAGAGTCTCCTCAGGAGTGCCCTGGTTGGAAGGAAAGCATTAGTGGTGGTCAGTGTCTGGTCTACCCTGCAATGTCCATACAAATTTGGCATCCCCCTCTGGTAGCATAGTGGTTATGAATTGGGCTGCAAACTACAAGGTCAGCAGTTCAAAACTACCAGCTGTTCCGTGGGAGAAAGATGAGGCTTTCTGCTCCCATAAAGATTAACAGCCTCAGAAACCCTGTACAGGGTCGCTATGAGTTGGTTCCGACTCCATGGCACATAACCACCACCACCACAGTCTTATGTATTGAATCTGCATCAATAAATTTGACCTTGTTTGGGGAAATGGGATTTTTTTTTTTTGCAGATATTTTCAGCTAAATGACAGAAGTCATTCTGGGAAGGGTGGGTTCTAATCCTAATTCCTTCTAAGTGGCTTCTTAACAAAAGAAAAAGACAGACAAGGAAAAAGAGTCACATACAGAAAGATGAACTATCTATAAGCCATATGAATATCCATCCACAAGCCACGAAACACCAAGAAACCGCCTAGGGCTACAGAATCTGAAAGAAAGAAGGAAGGATGTTTCCTCAGAGCCCACAGAAAGAATGCCCAGCCCTGCCATTGCCTTCTTCCCAAGTTCCCAGCCTCCAGGATGAAGAGATGATAAATTCCTGTTCTTTAAAGCCACCCACCTTTCAGTATTTTGTTGTGGCATTCCAAGAGATGAAGATCTTTTCTAAAGATGCTGAGGAGGGGATTCCTGTGCTTTCAGACGGCCACGACATCCAAAGATGCCCTTCGCTGCTACCCAGTGAAGGCCTCAGCAGAGCAAGGACTAGGCACATGGCTATAGACTGCTGGCATGTCAGGTGGGACAGGTGCCACAGCTAGGTGCTGCACACTTTCCTGTTCATACGTGCTGCTGCACTGGACCGCTCGTTCACTTGCACCTTTCAACCAGAGCAGCTGAGAGCCAGGTCCTAGCCATGTTGAGCACAATGCACAGCAACCAGGACAGATGGGTCCCATCTTTTCTCTAGTTGAGCTCTCTCTGCTTAAGGTCTGTCTGAAGTGTCCCCAGTCTCTGGGGAGCAGCAAAGGTGCATGAATTGAAGCTAGAGCCATGGAAGTGGAGTTTTAAGCATGTTTTCTACTCTTCTGCCATTTGGGCCTGTCAGGATCATGGGGTAACTATGAAGCATGGAGGCCACTGAGGGGTCATGGCCACATTCAGTGTGAGCTGAGCAAGGCAGCCCCGTGAAGCAGAGGAAGGGACCTTATATCTTCAGCTCCAGGATAGATGCAGCCTGAAGCAGAAAGGGCCATGGGTGAGCTGGACGTCTGTGCTGGGGAGACATTGCTCTGCTCATCATGACCTGCAGTCCATGACTCTGGGCTGTCTCTGGTTTCTTCATGAGAAGTCCCATCTCCTTCATCTCCTCCATTGGCCCCTGACAGGGAGGCTCAGCCCAGCTTCACATGTTCCTCCTGCCACAACTGCTCCCACCACCATGGGTCCTCCTGCTTTCATTTTATCTCTTTGTTCTCTCCAGAGTGCATGTGTTCCTTTGTGTGTGTCTGTGTACTGTACTCAAAGTCCTCTGGAAAAATCTGAAGTTTTCCATGTATGTTTGGTCTTCTCAGTCCTGCCAGCCAGATTCATACAAGGTCTGAAGACCGAGGAAGCCACAGAAGGGACCACGGCCACACTGCGGTGTGAGCTGAGCAAGGTGGCACTCGTGCAGTGGAGGAAGGGCCCTGAAGCCCTCAGCGCTGGGGGCAGATACAGTCTGAGGCAGGATGGGGCCATATGTGAGCTGGAGATTCGTAGCCTGACTGTGGCAGATGCTGGAGAGTACTTCTGTGTGTGTGGGCAGGAAAGGACCTCAGCCACGTTGACCGTGATGGGTAAAGACTGTGTGTGGCCATGGGACTCGGAGGAATGGTTGTCTGTTCCATGGTGTCCTATGCCACTGCCTTCTGTGTCCCTCTGTATCTCGGTCCCTATGGGACTACATGGGTATTTGTGCTCTCTCTGGCTGGAGTCCCTTGTGTTTACCCAGTAACTTGATCCTGTGGCTAGTAGATATCATGTTCATGAGGCTTGTATCTGTCCTTCTTTATCCTCTGTTCCCCCAGGACCTTTTGCTTCCCTCACCATTTGTTCCTTTGTTTGCTTATCCATCTTTTTGCTTCTATGGGTTTTTGTATGTGGGTGTCTGTGTCTTGTACACAGTCTCCCAGACAGTTTGATACTCTCTGTGCTCATTTGGCTCTCCCCAGCCCTACCAGCTAGATTCATACAAGGTCTGAAGAGTGAGGAGTCCAAGGAAGGGGCCATGGCCTTGCTGCCATCTGATCTGAACAAGCGGACCTCTGTGGAGTGGAGGAAAGGCCCTGAGACATTCATTGCTAGGGACAGATACAGCCTCAGGCGGGCTAGGGCCACATGTGAACTGGTGATCTGTAGCCTGGCTGTGGCAGACACTGGGGTGTACTCGTGTGTGTACATGGGTCAGAAAGGACCTCAGCCACACTGATTGTGAGGGACAAAGGTCATGTGTGACCCTATAGGGACCTCTCTACTCCAGCCTAACCCACCTGAGCTGTGTCTTTTGTGTCTCTTGATGTCATTCTCATATCCATTCTCATATCCAACACCATATCCATCTCACAAACGGTGCTGATGATCATCACTGTGGGTCAGCATTGTCTAGGTCTTGGGGACACTGGTAGTTGACACACTCAGGGAGCAGGAGCCCTGAGAGAGAGCATATGGAGGCAGTCCCCTATAAGTGCTAGTTCCTGGGGAAGCTGACATGTGTCCAGGTCTGCAGGGACAGGTCTGAGGGAGTGTCCAAGGGGAGCAATGTCAGGGTGTGGTAGGGAAGAGGTGGCCAGACAGGTGGGTTCTCAGCATCCAGTCTCAGTAGGGGTCACAATGTGTGGCCTTGCCAGCCCTGAGTTCTGAAGTTCATTCACTGCCTGGCTTCTGGGGAGAGCTGTGGAGGAGGCAAGACAGACTTGGGATGTAGCTGAGTGACCATGTTTGGGTTCCTCAGGGTCTAAATGAACTGAGTCAAAGGAGTAGAGCAAATGGGGTCAGGATAGGATTGGGAATGGAGGTGGAGCTTATGTGGGTTGGGTGAAATGGTACAGATTAGTGGGTGCAGGTGTGCCTAGGTGTGTGCAAGCCTGAGCAATGGTGGAAGGGATGAGAGCACATTTGCATGTGAAATCAGCATGTGTGGGTGGGATGTGAACACTTGGAAGCAGATATGTCCATCACATTGTTTGTTGAGTACGGTACATGGGTTGCAAATGTGGATGAGACCTGACTTGGAGCTCAAAGTGTAGAGGAGATAAATCTTAGCTGATAAGATCAAAGCTGAAGACAGAGGCAACTTTGAAAGGATAGGAGGACTAGTATAGAGGGGTGTCTCCTGGCCACTCTGTGTCCTAGCCGGATGAACATAGGAAGACCCCAGAAAACACGGTTTGATCTTTCTTTTAGTACTCTCTGCTTCTGTTTTCCCTCATGGGCACTCAAGTCTTATTTCCTAAACCAAACAGAGCATTTGATGGCTTCTGTCCATCTAAACCTTCCGAGCTCTGCCCAGTCAGTTCTTCCAATACCTGAAGACCAAGAAAGTCACGGAAGGGGACACAACACACAACTATGGTGTAAGTTGAGCAGGAAGACCCCTGCACAGTGGAGGTAAGAGCCTCAAACACTAAGGACAGATACAGACTGAGGCAGAATGGGGTCATGTGTGAGTTGGAGATTCATGGCTTTGCCATCGTGGATGCAGGAGAGGACCTCAGCAACACTGACTGTGAGGGACATTCCCCACAAATGGTCACATGGATAAGTAGAAAAGTGTCTGCACCATGGTGTCCTATGTCTCTATCTGTGCCCAGACCCCTGTGGGATTCTATGGGGTCTCCTGGGTTCTTTTAAATCAACCCTTTGACCAATAGATGTCAAGATGATCATGTTCAGGAGGCTCATGCTGATCTCTTTTTGTCCTCTGTTCCCCTACGACCATTTGCTTCCCTTACTGTCTGTTCATTTGTTTGCTTGCCTATCCCTTTGCTCCTTTGGAAGTTTACGTGTTTCTCTGTGAGTGTCTGTGTCCTATACACAAAGTCCTCCTGATAGTCTGATGTTCTCCCTGGGCATTTGGCCTTCCTAGCCCTGCCAGCCAGATTCATATAAAGTCTGAAGAGTGAGGAGGCCACAGAAGGAGTTACAGCCACACTACAGTGTGAGCTGAGCAAGGCAGCCCCTGTGCAGTGGAAGATGGGATCTGAGATCCTCAGCACTGGAGATCAATACTGCCTGCCTGAAGCAGGATGGGACTTTGTGGGAGTTGGAGATCCATGGCCTAGTGCTGGGGGATTCTGAAGAGTATTCATGTGTCCGTAGGCAGGAGAGGACCTCAGCCATGCTGACTGTGAGGGGTAAAGACTGCATGTGGCCACAAGGTTCAGTGGCATGATATCCGTACCATGGTGTCCCATGTCATCACTTTCTGCCTCCCTCTATGTCCAAGCTCCTGTGAGATTCTGGGGATGGCTCTTCACCATACTTGGGGTCTCTTTGATACTCCCAGTTCCTTGAGCACTTAATCAATAGACGTCATGATGATTATGTTCATGTGGCTTATGTCTATCCGTCTTTGTCCTCTGCTACCCAAGACCATTTGCTTCCCTCACATATGTTCATTTGTTTCCTTGTCTACCCTTTTGCTCCTTTGGAAGTTTATGTGTTTCTCCGTGGGTGTCTGTGTCCTGTACACAAAGTCCTCCAGACAGGCTGATGTTCTCCATGTCTGTTTGGCTCTCCCAGCCCTGCCAGCCAGATTCATACAAGGCCTGAAGAGTGAGGAGGCCATGGAAGGGGCTGCAACCACGCTGCAGTGTGAGCTGAGCAAGGCAGCCCCTGTGCAGTGGAAGAAGGGCTCTGAGACCCTCAGCACTGGTGATAGATACCACCTGAGACAGGATGGGGCTACTTGTGAGCTGGAGATCTGTGGCCTGGTCATGGAGGATGATGGGGAGTACTCATGTGTGTGTGGGCAGGAGAAGACCTTGGCAACGCTCACTGTGAAGGGTAAAGCTATATGTGGCCATATGGATCAGCGGTGTGACTTCTGTGTACTATTATGTCCTATGTCACCACCTCCATCTGTGACAAGATCCCTGTCGGATTTCACAGATCTGTTCTCCATCTCATGGGAGCCTCCTGGATTCTCCTTGTTTCTCATCACTTTGACCTTTGATGTCATGATGATCTTGTCCATGAGGGTTATGTCTATCCTTCTTTGTCCTGTATTTTCCCATGATCATTTGCTTTCCTCACTTTTTGCTCATTTGTTTGCTTATTCATCTCTTGTTTCCTTTGGAAATTTCCATGTTTCATTGTGGATGTCTGTCCCATACACAAAGTCATCCAGACAGTCTGATTTCTCTGTGTCCATTTGGCCTTCCCAGCCCTGCCAGCCAGATTCATACAAGGTCTGAAGAATGAAGAGGCCATGGAAGGAGCCATGGCCACACTGCAGTGTGAGCTGAGCAAGGCAGCC